CATTCCCACTCCTGGGGATCTACCCAAAGAAATAAAACACAGGTTACTCCAGAGGCACCTGCACACCCATGTTTATTGCAGCGTTATTTACAATAGCCAAGTTATGGAAACAACCAAGATGCCCCATATTGATGAATGGATCAAGAAAATGTGGTACTTGTACACAGTGGAATTTTACTCAGCCACGAAGAAGAATGAAATCTTATCATTTGCAGGTAAATGGATGGAACTAGAGAACATCCTTCTGAGTGAGGTTAGCCAGGCTCAGAAGACCAAAAATCATGTTCTCCCTCATATGCAAATCTAGGGCAAATGCAGCAATGTGGTTGGACTTGGATCACATGACAAGGGGAGAGCACATACAGGAGATATAGGAATAGGTAGAAAACCCAAAACATGAACACGTTTGATGTCCTCACTCCAGAGGAATTAATACAGAAACCTTAAAGCGACAGAGGTTATCATGAGAAGGGGATCAGTAACCAGTGTAAAGTTTAGTTAGAGATGAATCAACATGGGTTGTAACACGTGTACACAAAAGCAATGCTAGGAATATTTCTGTATAGCTATCCTTAACTCAACTAGCAAAAACACTTTGTCTTCCTTATTATGCTTGTGTCTTTTCTTCAACAAAATTAGTGATGAGGGCAGAACAGGACCTGCCTGGAACTGAAGTGGGGGGGAGAGATTGAGAAGGGAGGGTAGAGGGGAGAAATGACCCAAACAATGCACATGTGAATAAATGAATAATTAAAAAAAAACTTGGTTACATATCATTCAAGTTTTTAGAAGCTATCTGTGAAAAAAACAAAGTGTCCATTATACCAACACTGCTTTCCTAAGAATATTTGATACTATAATTTAGCAACCTGTGGTCTAAATGCTTTCTCCAATTTTTCCATGGGAAATTAGCACCACCCTCCTTCATTGATCTTAAAGGCAACTTTGAATGCAATCAGATCTTGGGAGATTTGGCCCTACTCATACCGTCAAGTACAAGCTCAATGACGTGTCATGCTCCATTACTCTTAAGACCTGAATTTGATTCTCCAGCTTTATCTTCTGATATGCATCACCTTGTACTTCCCATACTACTTGCCATTACTGGTTTATTTTACAGAATAGTATAAAGGATTCACATAAACCTCTTCAGTTGAGATCCAGTGTGAGATCCAGGATGGTCCAAGTGTTGGAGCTTCTGTTCCCATGGAATGGGGTGTGTCACTCTCCACACCCCATGAATTTGCTCACCAACTCAGAAATTCTCTCATCCCCACTGCCTAGGATTTTATAGTCTTCACTACATAGGAAGAATTGTTTAAGATAGTCTCCAGTAACTTATTCTTCCCCAGAGAGTGGGAATAGGCTAAAAATTGCAGTACTTTAATCATGCCAAGGTCTTTCTGGGAACCAGCCTCCTTCATGAAGCTATGTAGGAACTCAGTCATCTCATTAATATAAGAAAAGATATTCTTACCACTCTGGAGATTATAAAAATTTTAGAAATGTTAGGAACCAGGGACTTAGACCAAACATATCAAAAGGTGTGCCTATCACCCACACCACACAGAAAATTATAAGGGTTCTGTGAGTGCTGTGTCAGGAACCAAGACAGACACCTAGTATGTATTTCATATGTCATGGGCATGGATACTGGAGCCAGGTTGTATGGTTCAAATCCTAACTTACCACTTATGCTGCCTCTATGGCCATTCTCAGTGATCTGAAGCACATAAAACAGTGTCTGGCACATAGCAAACACCATGTGTTTGCAGTTATTATTATCAACTATGCTGCTGTAAAATGTGGGAAGTGAAAGACAAGGTATGTGTTCAAAAATTTGTGTCTTCTGGAAAGTGAGGGACAATTCCATATGCATAATGTACTGACATCCAGCCCTGTTTGCTTACATTTGGATTATTGCCTGAACCTGTAGGAATACGACTTTGTGACACCTGTTGTGCAATGTGACCTTCATAGCCTGAAAGTGTAAAATGGTTCTTAACTTGTAGTTTAGAAGCATGCATTTTTGGCTTCTTTCCACATGAGTAAGAATCAGTATTTCATTTGCAAAGTCTGCATACTTATTTATTTAAAGTTGAATGCCAATTGTAATTCTGGCACATTTCATTTTAGGGAAACATGCACAATCTGTGGGTTAAAGCTGGTGAAGGTTCTGGGGTGGAGGAGGCTGCCAAGAGACCATTTCCTAATGATATTGGCAAGGCTGTGTCTGCTGGTTGGGCCGAAGGATACAAGGTAGAACTGGTGAGTAGTTGGGTGCTTTTCTGTATGCATCTGCTTTTTCCCCTCCTTGTACTTTTTAAAAATTTTGATAAACTATGCATAAACATAAAGTTTGTCATTTAACCATCTTTAAGTGTATAGGTCATCAAGTACATTCACAATTTGCGAAGCCATCAACACTATCCATTTCCATCCTCCCAAACATTAAGTAATAAATTCCCATTCCCCTCTTCCTCCAATCCCTGCCTGTAGTCTATTTTCTGTCTTGCCTATTTTAGGTACCTCACATAATTGGAATCAGACAATATTTGCTCTTTTGTGTCTGGCTTATTTCACTTAGCATAATTTCTCATTGTTCATCCATTTGCAGCATGTGTTAGAATTTCATTGATTTTGGTCTGTGTAATATTCTGTTATTTGCCACTTTGTGTAGCCATTCAAATATTGACAAACATTGGGTTGTTTCTACCTTTGGCTATTATGAACAAATTCTGCTATGAACAAAATGTATGTTTCTGAATCTATACTTTTAATTCTTTTGGGTAGACACACAGAAATGGGCTGGTTGGATCATGTGGTAATTCTTTAATTTTTCTTTCTGGTCTTTAGATTTTATCATTTCAGTTGTCATATCTTCACGTTCACTGATCCTGTTCTGCCTGAACCCCTTGAATTAATTTTTCATGTCATTTATTACAGTATTTCTGTTCCAGACTTCCTGTGTGGTTTCTTTTATTTTCCCAATTGCCTTCAGTTCTTTGTTCATGTTTTTCTCTTAGTTCTTTGAATGTATTTAAGACACTTGTTTTAAAGTCTTTGCATATTAAGTCTGTTTTCTAAAAGATAATTTTGTCAGTTTGTCCTGTTCATGTCAATCTTTCAAGGTAAGTTTTGTTAGTTTACACTCCTACAAGCAACATGTGAGTCACACCGTTGCTCCATGTCTTTGCCAATGTATGCAAGCATCAGTTTTTTTGGATGGACTTGTGGTGGTTCTATCTTGTGATTTATTTTATTTTCCCATTCCTAGTGTGATTGGCTATCTTTTCATACTTGTTGGACATCTGATATCCTCTTTCGTGAGGTGCCTATTCGTATGTCTTTTGCCTTCTTTTTCTTGAGGTAGCTAACATTGACATCTTTTATATATTCTAAGAACAAGCCCTTTGTCAGTTTTATTTATGTATATATATATATATATATATATATATATATACACACACACACATATATAAATGTATATTTATGTATATATATATGTACATATGCACACACATATATATATATAAATTATCATTCAGTACTTTGCCTTACAACTCTCTTGATAGTTTACTTGCTTGCTTTCTTTAATTACAAGAATTTCAATTGTTCTTTGCTAATAAAAACTTTTCCTACCCAGACAGGGTATTTTCCTATTGTATCATCCAGAAAGTATAGTTTTGCTTTTTACATTTAGATCTATAGTTTGCCTGAATTTATTTTTGCATATAATGTGAAGTAGAGAGGCACATTTTGTTCTCTTCTATGTTTATATGTGTTATTGAAAAGGTAGTCTTATCCATTTATTTATTCATTCATTCATCTTGTGATGCTGGGGATCCATCCCAGGGCCTTTTGCATGCTGGAGGGGCATTTTATCACTGACCCGTACCTCTAGCCCCTTCTGTGCCTTTGTCACAGCACTTTTGTCATAAATTATGTGTAGATCTTTTTCTTGATCTGTGTTTTGTTTCATTGTGCTCATGCTACCACTATCTTGATTGTCACAGCCGTGTTTCTAGAACACTTTTCTTTGTCCTCAGAGAGTGTCTTGACTCCTTGGTCTTTTGCATTTCCAAATGCGTTTTGGAATTGTCAAGTTCCAAAAGTCATCATGTGGTTTTGATTGAGTTTTCCTTTAAATTTTAGGACATCCTAGGTCATATCATTATGGTATTATAGCATCTAATTCATGTAAACTGCACATCACTCCATTTATTTAGGTAATCCTTCATTTTTATCAATAATATTTTGGTTTTCTCACTTAAGGTCTTACATATCTTTCATTAGAGTTATTTCTAACTTCTTGTTTTTGATGCTATTGTAAATGATATTTATTCATTTTTTCAAGTTTCATTTTTAACTTCTCATTATTGGTACAGAGAAAATCATATAATTTTTGTATTTTGATTAAGTCCCACTTTCTTTTAACTAGTGCTGGTGTAGTATAGTTTTTCTGTCCTTTTAATCTTAATCTGTTTGTATCTCTATCTTTGAGGTGGGTGGTTTCTTTTGGAAAGAATATACTTGAGTTTTGCTTTTTATATACCCTGTCACTATTTGCCCCTTAATTTGGGTATCTTCACCATTAACATTTAATGTGATTACTTTTACAGTTGAGTTTAACTTAACCATCTTGCTGTGTGATTTCCTTTTATTCATCTTCTGTTGTTCCCCTTTTCTTCTTCTTCTGTCTTCCTTTGAATGGGGGTATTTTTTATGATTTCCTTTTTTCTCCTTTTGTTGATATGAAATAGTCTTTAGTACCAGTAGTCACTTGGGTGCTCAATTCAGAAACCCAGGATTATTTTTAGTTCTTTTTCCTCCCATGTCTATTCAATCATAAAATTATGTCGCTTTTACTCTTAAATACCTCTCTACCAAATCCTTGCTGGATTACTTTTGTTCACGTGCTTTTTTCTTGCCTGTGTATTTGCAATGGTTACTGGTTTCCCTTTCTGCATACTTCTGATTTAAGATTCAATCTGTTAAAAAGCTTTCAATATCTATCCAGAACCTGGAGTACATGAGTTTTGTATAAAGATCTTAATATTTTCATTCTTCTCAGGGCCCAACCTTACCTACTTAGCTTGTCTCCGACTGCTCTTCCACCAATATTTTACATTCTGTGACTTGCTGCACTGGAAATTTTCCTTCAGGTCTTAGTACCCGTTCTACAAAGCTTTTTTCTCCTTTTGACTGAATTGGGTCTCTCCTCTCTGGATTCCACTTTGCTTTCTGCATACTTCACTGGTACCATTACAAGTAATTGAAATTGTTTACTTGTCTTTCTGTTCCTTCCTAGAGAGAGCATAAACTCCTTGAGGTTTGAGCCTCCTTTGTCTTAGATATCCTCTAAATAATTGTTGAGTGAAAGAACAGTTGGAAACAGCAAAGGCTTTTGCTTTTCGTGGTGTGATCTATACCTTTCCTTTGTATAATTCATCCAGCACATAGATGCTGTGGGTCATGCTAGGGTGGGGGCTTCTGAAAAGATTCAATCTTCGCTGTCATGAACCTGTAAGTTACAATTGTTTTCTCAGAGTCACTTTTTTTTTTGGGTGGGACTGGGTTTTTTTTTTTGGGCGGGACTGGGTTTGAAGTCAGGACTTCATGCTTACAAAGCAGGTGCTCTACTTCTTGAGCCACACCTCCAGTCCCACAGTCACACTTCTAAGGGTAAGACTGATGTATGCAATTTTGAAAGAGAAAAAGTTGTCAGTTGTCACCATTTTATGACTCACTAGTTCTTTGTAGGCATTCACCAAATAAAAGTAGAACACTTGGAGTGAGCTAGGGACAATGTTTCCCTGTTGGTAGAAAGAAAAAAATGAGTTTAGTATTAATAATTTAAGTGTGTTTATAAAACACAGGACATGGGAAAAATGTACTTTTTTTTTCTGTTCTGTAGGAGAGGCTAAAACTTACGTATGAGGCAAAGAGTGAAATCCTGGAATCTCAGTTGACAATTTTGAGGTAAAGTAAATTCATCCATTTATAGTCACAGCAAAAACATGATGACCTTAAATAACTTGAATGCTTGATGCACTGCCAGTTTTACTCAATATTAGAATCACCAGATAACATTTTATGTGCAATATAAAAATGTCCCCAGAGAACTGAAGGGGGAAAGGACATAAAGTTGTGCATCCTTTCCCAATTCCCATTCCTGTGAGGTAAATTATAAGTCTTATCTCTTCATCAGTTGTAAAATATGTTGTGTTTTATCATAGAAATAAGGACCATTAGCTGTTCTTATATTCTTTTACAATACAGCAGTAAAAATGAGGCACTCTATTTTGAAGATACAAGCAAGTGTTTTTTCTCTGTAGACATTCTCATCCAATGTTAAAATCACAACAGTCATGGTCTGAGTGTTTGTGTGCATGCTGAATGTTCATGTTCAATGTCTACATGTTACAGACCCCAGTGGAACCTGTATTCTATACATTACCCATTGGTGGTATATGTGGACTGAGTAGAAAAAGACATCAAGTATTAACTTTTTTGTTAAAGGCTAATTTAAAATAGTGGTAATAAAACATTCTTAAATTTTAAAATACTTTTTATAATATTTTAATAAGTCCAATTTGAGATAAGTATTAAAATCTTTCAGTCCATAACCAACACAACTAGAATAATTCCAGGAGCCACAATTCATTGCTTTCACTGCACATGTTACTTTTTATTTTTCTTGTGGTATTGGGGATTGAACCCAGGGCCCAAGTGCTCTACCACTTAAGCAATGTCCCCTGTCCTTTTGTTTTTAAGAAAGGGTCTCCCCCACTTTTGCCTGGGCTGGCTTCAAACTTTTGATCCTCCTGAGTAACTGGGATTACAGGCATGCACCATTATGCCCTCTTTGTTCATTTATTTTTAATGTACTCTTATGGTTTTCAAGCTTACCCTGGTGAGTTTTAGGATTCCTATGGAGATTTTTACTTTTTCAAAAAGAAACCTAGCATTTAAAAATAGTCTAATATTTGCTTTCCATCTTTTAATTTTATTTTTTTATATTTTGATCCCTATTGTGATTTGATTCTTCAGGTTTTTTTTGATTCTTTAGTTTTTGAAGCAATGTATTTCTGGATCATCATACTTATGAGAATGATCTATTGTCTCATTCACAATTCAACTATGCTATTCTTAATTACACTAAAATACCAACTTGCAGTGAGTTAGACTTTGTTCTCTCATTTTTGAGCTTCTTCATTTTCTTTCAGTATAATTTAGAATTATTTAAAAGGAATTTTCATAAAGAAAAGATAAAATCACAATTCAGAAGCTCTGGCTATAAGGTAGCTATTTTAAAATTTCTATTTTGCCACTTCTAGTAATCAAATATATTTGAGTGGTTTGAGTCTGAACCTGGCAGAAATTAGTAATGGATCCTTTTGCCTTTGGAATGTGTTTTTAAAGTTCTTTTTATAAATCCTTTGAAAGTCAGGCTTTCTCTATCTGGTACTAAAATAGAAAACTTAAGTTAGAGATGCTATCTTGGAGACAGGGCTAAAACAGCTCTGCTTCTCCTCTTCCCCCCAAATTCAGACTGTTATTACATTAGTGATTTATTTTTTTAACCCTTCAATTGCCTATAGCTCTTTTCTACCCTGGCTGCCTGAGAGTCCCCAAGTCCCAAGAGTTGAAAAATTGTATGACAGACAGCTGTCTGTTTTCTATTTCTTTGCAACAGTGAGCAGGTCAAGTAAGATGCACCCAACTATATTTCCCTGAGCATAGGAACAAATGCTGATGACAGGGAGGAGACGGAGCTGCTCAAGTTACTTTTCCAAAGTTTTTCTATGGAGGATGAGGAAAATGTTAGCCATATACTGGTTACTTAATTCTTTAAAAAACAACTTGTAGAAAATTGTACCCAGGGGGTATCCATAATGTAAAAGCAAATAAACAATCACACACATACACACTGTCATACATATACATACACACATATACACACACGCACACATCCATACTCACCAGGCACGCATACCTACACTCTTACACACACTCACAATACACATACATTCACACACACAGTCATATACACATACATACTCACATGTACACATACACACATTCACACACACATACATGCACAGGCACCTACATTCATATACACACACAGTACACACACATTCACACATATACATGCACAGACACACACCCTCACAAGCACAAATGTACATACACACACACACTCTCTCTCTCTCTCTCTCTCGCACACACAATTCCCCAGCCCTTTCTTTAGCCAGCTGTATATGTTCAGCTAATAGCTACTACTTTTGAAGTTTTATGATTGGCAAATTCTATATAACTTCCTTCTGCAGCTCACTTTCTTTTGAAACAGCTCTGTAGAACTTTCTGGTTAGATAACTTTTTGTTTTCCTTCTGAAGAGAATGGGCGATAATAAATTAGTAGGGACAAATCCATGTTTTTCTTGTGTACTTCCAAGATGTTCTCTATCAATGTTTTGGTGAACACTTGAAGCAGGACATTTCCTTCAACTCAAGGATGCTGTGTATGGCACCCTGCTCCTTTATTAAGAGAAATGAGCTATTGTATGTAAGCACCTCTTATGGTAAACACCTGTAAATGATGGTAATAGTTCACTGTGATGACTCTTTTGGAAGTGGTGTGCTTCTACCTGGCCATTCCCCAGAATATTTTCTCCTTGTTTTCAGGAAGGACTTGGCTGAATATCAGAAAAATTATGAAGATCTTAAAGGACGGCTAAAACACAAAGAGTTTCTTCTCGCTGCGAACACCTCCAACCGTGTTGGTGGTCTGTGTTTGAAGTGTGCTCAGCACGAGGCTGTTCTGTCCCAAACCCATAACAACGTACACGTCCAGACCATGGAGAGACTGACTAAGTAAGTATGTGACTGCCTACTGAAGTCTTCGCGACTACACAGTTATGTCTTTAAAGGGCATTGTTTCCTTTTATTCCTGTGCCAAAAATCTAAGCTTGAAATAGAGTGGACTTTAAAGGTCCCTTCATTTTAGCTTTCTGGAAGGAAGAATGGGTAGGTTCTACCAACTGTGCATAACCATGTCACTTTGAACAAATAATTTTTGCCTGCTGGTTTCAGTCTCATCTTGAAGTAAGAGAATTGAACTAGATAATCTTTACAGTTCTAAGACTTTATAATTACAAATCTGGCACTATTCTTTTTTTGTTTGTTTTAAGGTTTTTAGACAGGGTGTCACTAGATAGCCCAGGCTAGCCTGAACTTACAATCTTAGCTTTCTAGCACTATTTCTAACAAAAGTGGACATGAGAGGAATTCCTTTGACTTGTGCCATATCTTGGATTTCCTGCCCTAGCTCAGGTACAATGAGCCACTACCACATGGTCAGCGTGCACCTGTTGTGAGGAGTGTTACATCAAGTGGGAGAAGAAACTGCTCTGCTGCAGTATTAATAGCTGAGGCTGACTAAGGACCACTTCTTCTTTTTTTTTTTTTAAGCTGGAATATATACATTTTTTTATTTATTATTTTTACATTTATTTCTAGGCAGGTACTCTTAACCACCTGAGCCACCCCGCAAGGTACATTTATTTCTAAATGACAAATAATTTTAAGCATATGTAGGGTATAGTGAGATAGTTTAATTTTACATACATTATAGAATTTTTCAGTCAAAACATGTCTACTACCTCTCCAATTTTCATTTTTTGTGGTGAGAATATTAAAAATCAATACAGTGCATTATTGATAATTGTGATAGCAGTGCAGTAGATCACAAAAAGCTTAACCCTCTAATCTAATGGAAACTTTGTACATTTTTTTTTTTTGGTAATCTCCTCAGCTTTTCTTTTTTATTATTGTTTTATTATTCATATGTGCATACAAGGCTTAGGTCATTTCTCCCCCCTGCCCCCACCCCCTCCCTTACCACCCCCTCCTCTCCCCCCCACCCCCTCAATACCCGGCAGAAACTATTTTGCCCTTATCTCTAATTTTGTTGAAGAGAGAGTATAAGCAATAATAGGAAGGAACAAGGGTTTTTGCTAGTTGAGATAAAGATAGCTATACAGGGAGTTGACTCACATTGATTTCCTGCGCGTGTGTGTTACTTTCTATGTTAATTCGTTTTGATCTAACCTTTTCTCTAGTTCCTGGTCCCCTTCTCCTATTGGCCTCAGTTGCTTTTAAGGTATCTGCTTTAGTTTCTCTGCGTTAAGGGCAACAAATGCTAGCTAATTTTTTAGGTGTCTTACCTATCCTCACCCCTCCCTTGTGTGCTCTCGCTTTTATCATGTGCTCAAAGTCCAATCCCCTTGTTGTGTTTGCCCTTGATCTAATGTCCACATATGAGGGAGAACATACGATTTTTGGTCTTTTGGGCCAGGCTAACCTCACTCAGAATGATGTTCTCCAATTCCATCCATTTACCAGCGAATGATAACATTTCGTTCTTCTTCATGGCTGCATAAAATTCCATTGTGTATAGATACCACATTTTCTTAATCCATTCGTCAGTGGTGGGGCATCTTGGCTGTTTCCATAACTTGGCTATTGTGAATAGTGCTGCAATAAACATGGGTGTGCAGGTGCCTCTGGAGTAACCTGTGTCACAGTCTTTTGGGTATATCCCCAAGAGTGGTATTGCTGGATCAAATGGTAGATCAATGTTTAGCTTTTTAAGTAGCCTCCAAATTTTTTTCCAGAGTGGTTGTACTAGTTTACATTCCCACCAACAGTGTAAGAGGGTTCCTTTTTCCCCGCATCCTCGCCAACACCTGTTGTTGGTGGTGTTGCTAATGATGGCTATTCTAACAGGGGTGAGGTGGAATCTTAGTGTGGTTTTAATTTGCATTTCCTTTATTGCTAGAGATGGTGAGCATTTTTTCATGTGTTTTTTGGCCATTTGAATTTCTTCTTTTGAGAAAGTTCTGTTTAGTTCACTTGCCCATTTCTTTATTGGTTCATTAGTTTTGGGAGAATTTAGTTTTTTAAGTTCCCTATATATTCTGGTTATCAGTCCTTTGTCTGATGTGTAGCTGGCAAATATTTTCTCCCACTCTGTGGGTGTTCTCTTCAGTTTAGAGACCATTTCTTTTGATGAACAGAAGCTTTTTAGTTTTATGAGGTCCCATTTATCTATGCTATCTCTTAGTTGCTGTGCTGCTGGGGTTTTGAGAAAGTTCTTACCTATACCTACTAACTCCAGAGTATTTCCTACTCTTTCCTGTATCAACTTTAGAGTTTGTGGTCTGATATTAAGATCCTTGATCCATTTTGAGTTAATCTTGGTATAGGGTGATATACATGGATCTAGTTTCAGTTTTTTGCAGACTGCTAACCAGTTTTCCCAGCAGTTTTTGTTGAAGAGGCTGCTATTTCTCCATCGTATATTTTTAGCTCCTTTGTCAAAGACAAGTTGGTTATAGTTGTGTGGCTTCATATCTGGGTCCTCTATTCTGTTCCACTGGTCTTCATGTCTGTTTTTGTGCCAGTACCATGCTGTTTTTATTGTTATGCTTTGTAATATAGTTTGAAGTCAGGTATTGTGATACCTCCAGCATTGTTCTTTTGACTGAGTATTGCCTTGGCTATTCATGGCCTCTTGTGTTTCCATATAAATTTCATGGTAGATTTTTCAATCTCTTTAATGAATGTCATTGGAATTTTGATGGGAATTGCATTAAACATGTAGATTACTTTTGGGAGTATAGACATTTTTACTATGTTGATTCTACCAATCCATGAGCATGGGAGATCTCTCCACTTTCTATAGTCTTCCTCAATCTCTTTCTTCAGAAGTTTATAGTTTTCCTTGTAGAGGTCATTCACATCTTTTGTTAGGTTTACACCTAGGTATTTGATTTTTTTTGAGGCTATTGTAAATGGAATTGTTTTCATATATTCTTTTTCAGTTTGTTCATTATTAGTGTATAGAAATGCTAATGATTTTTCTATGTTGATTTTATATCCTGCTACCTTGCTGTAGCTATTGATGATGTCTAGAAGCTTCTGAGTAGAGTTTTTTGGGTCTTTAAGGTATAGGATCATGTCGTCTGCAAATAGGGATATTTTGACAGTTTCTTTACCTATTTGTATTCCTTTTATTCCTTCTTCTTGCCTAATTGCTCTGGCTAGGAATTCCAGTACTATGTTGAATAGGAGTGGAGATAGTGGGCATCCTTGTCTGGTTCCTGATTTTAGAGGGAATGGTTTCAGTTTTTCTCCGTTAAGTATAATGCTGGCTGTAGGTTTGTCATATATAGCTTTTATAATGTTGAGGTACTTTCCTTCTATTCCTAGTTTTCTTAGAGCTTTTATCATGAAATGGTATTGGATCTTATCAAAGGCTTTTTCTGCATCTATTGAGATGATCAAGTGTTTTTTGTCTTTGCTTCTGTTAATGTGGTTTATTACGTTTATTGATTTTCATATGTTGAACCACCCCTGCATTCCTGGGATGAGGCCTACTTGGTTATGGTGAATAATCTTTTTGATGTGTTGTTGAATTCGGTTTGCCATTATTTTGTTGAGGATTTTTGCATCAATGTTCATTAAGGAGATTGGGCTATAGTTCTCCTTTTTGAAGGTGTCTTTGCCTGGTTTTGGGATAAGTGTAATACTGGCTTCATAAAATGTGTTAGGTGGTTTTCTTTCCCTTTCTATTTCATGGAACAGTTTAAGGAGGGTTGGTATCAGTTCTTCTTTAAAGGTCTGATAGAATTCAGCAGAGAATCCATCATTTCCTGGAGTTTTCTTTTGGGTGAGACTTGATTGCTGCTTCAATTTCATTTTGTGTTATAGATCTATTCAGGTGATTAATTTCCTCTTGGTTCATTTTGGATGACTGTATGTATCTAGAAATCTGTCCATTTCTTTAAGATTTTCAAATTTATTTGAATATAGGTTCTCGAAGTAGTCTCTGATGATTTCCTGGACTTCCATGGTGTTTGTTGTTATCTCCCCTTTAGCATTCCTGATTCTACTAATTTGGGTTTTTTCTTTCCTCATTTTAGTCAGATTTGCCAGGGGTCTGTTGATCTTGTTTATGTTTTCAAAGAACCAACTTTTTGTTTCATTGTCTTGGAATTTCTTGAGCGTCTCCTCTACATTTTGGTTGACCCTATCCAGTATCATCTCTATAAAATTCTCATTGAGTACCTGTAGCATGTCTTCTTTTAAATTATTCTTGTGGGCTCCATTGGGTTCTTTGGCATAGTTTATCTTCATTTTGTTGGAGTCTGGATTTGAGTATCTGTTTTCTTCATTCCCCTCTGGTTCCTGTACTAATTTTTTGCTGTGGAGAAACTGGTTTCCCTGTTTTTTCTGTCTTCCCGTCATTGTCCTTGGTGTTGTTACTCTCCCTGTACTGTGTGTAATTAAGTATTTTCTAGCTTGTAAAAATAACAATGGTAATATTTAGAATGGAAGGGTGAGGGAGATGGAAAGCAAGAAGTTAAAGAAAAGCGAAAAACAAATAAACAGACAAGTAGGAAAAAACAAAACAAGGAATCAAACAAGAAAGTTCCAAAGGTATAAACAGGGAGCTTTAGTGTACTAATCGACAGTAAGCTGAACAGGCATTAAATAGACAGAGAGATGATTGAAAATAAAAAATAAAAAGAATAAAGATAAGAATAAAAATAAATAAGTAAATGAAAGAAAAAAATATATATATAAATAAAATAAAACAAAGTGAAAAATAGAAAAAAAAAACCTCGAAGTTCAAATGCAATGAAGTTTCAGTCTTAATAATTTTGGTATCCGTCTCAGTCTCCAGTCCTGGAGATGGTGCCTCAGATGTTGTTCTGTAGTTGTCTCATCAAAGGGGACGCATAAAGTAGAACAAAACTGCACACACACAAAAAACAACCCACAAAGTGTCCCAAGTTCAAATGCAGTAC